CCTCAGACCTCAGACATCAGACCCTCAGACCTCAGACATCAGACCCTCAGACATCAGACCTCAGACCCTCAGACATCAGACCTCAGACATCAGACTCTCAGACATCAGACCCTCAGACATCAGACATCAGACCCTCAGACATCAGACCTCAGACCCTCAGACATCAGACCTCAGACATCAGACTCTCAGACCTCAGACATCAGACATCAGACCCTCAGACATCAGACATCAGACCCTCAGACATCAGACCTCAGACCCTCAGACATCAGACCTCAGACATCAGACTCTCAGACATCAGACCCTCAGACATCAGACATCAGACCCTCAGACATCAGACCTCAGACCCTCAGACATCAGACCTCAGACATCAGACTCTCAGACATCAGACCCTCAGACCTTAGACATCAGACCTCAGACCTCAGACCTCAGACATCAGACCTCAGACCTCAGACCTCAGACCCTCAGACATCAGACCCTCAGACCTCAGCATCAGGACTTGAGCTCATATCAGGAAACACAAACAGCGCAGTCTGAATCTCTGCAGAGACTCTCTGAACAACTCTAAACCTCTTCTATCTTTTATATAATGATGAACTGACTATAACACACGTTTCTTCCTGGTTACACCTCTGAAGTGTTACCTTTTACGTCAGWRGTTGAACGTAACCAACTTTGTTTATAGACAGAAAGAAGGCATGATAAAACATCAACTCTCAGTCTGTTTGAAACCTTATGGCTGCTYTGATCAGAACGTGTAAAAAACAAAACTGTTCCTAACATTCAGTTAATCAGTTACATTTCCTTCAAGTTAGTGAGTGAAAGCTGTGGTTAAAGTTGTGACTGACTCTCAGCTACTACCACGTTACATTTTACAGTAATACCTCTTAAACTGACTGAGATCCAGTCATTTTTGTCTTTTCTAAGGTAAGCTGACTGTAGCTTGAACCAGGTAGAAGCTCTGATTACATTCTGTAAATTTATTTTTAAAAAGCTTTCAGTGGATGATGGGATTATTTTGGGACATGAACAAAATCATCAGTTSAACCTTTGATTTTTATCAGCTGACTGTTCTTTTCTTCCTGCAGGTCCTGGTGATGACTGGGAGCAGACGGTGGAACAAACCTCCAAATGAACTTCATCAGAATTCAACCAGACTTTCCCATGACTCAGATATGCCCATGTCAAACACACAGACACACAAGTTTGTATTTCTATCCTTATTAGGACCGTTCATTGACTTTCATTAGTTGTTTCTATAGCCTAAACCTGAGCCCTTAAACCTAAACTAAACTTAATCCCCAACACAAAACTGGAGTTCCACCATGTTAGTCTTTGGTCCCCAAARAAATGYCTGATCTTGACAAGGTAGGTGTGTACCAGAAACGGTCCTAGAAGGGTAACAGACACACACACACACACACACACACACACACACACACACACACACACACACACACAACATTACAATCAGTTCTGCAGAAAAAGAAGCTCAGACAAAGCACCTGTTATGAACATTTAAAAGCAGCTTTATTAGCTTGGCAGCACGTTGCCAGTTCTTCATGTTCCTTCTTTCCTTCTRACCGTGTGGGTTTGATTTATCTGTCATTTCTGCTGTTGACTTATTAAACATTTGTACATTGTGACAACTTGCTTCCTTCTTACAGTTATTACAGAAAGATTTAGACATCACGTAGTGAAGTGCTTCCATTTAAGATCACTGTTCTCAACAACTCTTCAATACAAGAAGGAATGAGCAAAAAATCAAACGTTTAATAAAACAAACTAATTTTCATGGTGGAGTTGGACATATTTTTGGTGTGTGCTTCATTGTAGATTTATTATTCAGATCATTCAAGGTCCTAATATCACTGCTACCTAACAGTGGATCAAACATACTGGAACATTCCTACAGTTTAGTGACATGACTGGAAGAAAAGCACTCTGAACAAATAAATAAGTGATCAAAATAAAAACATAGAATAATAATCTGGTGGATGTTTTACGTTACATTCTGTCAAATAAATTCTGCCGAGCACATTTTCAGCTTTATCAATCATAAAACACAGAATATGAAGAAAAAGGCTAAAGTCTAATGGCTAGCCAAATAATTGTTCATTTTTTACCAACTTTTAGGCTTATCAAAGTATTTACTCAAAACCAACACACTGATATGACACAACACTACTGTACATCAGCTAATATTAAACTTATACAATTTATTACCATGATGTTGGCTCAATTTGTTCCTGGACCTTAAAGGGACAATTTTATATGTTTCTCAGGCATATATTTAAATACTATACCATAATAAAGTTTCTATGTCACCTTTAGTTNCAGACCCTCAGACATCAGACCCTCAGACTTCAGACCCTCAGACATCAGACCCTCAGACTTCAGACCTCAGACATCAGACCTCAACCTCAGACCCTCAGACATCAGACCCTCAGACTTCAGACCTCAGACATCAGACCCTCTGACATCAGACCTCAGACATCGGACCTCAGACATCAGACCTCAACCTCAGACCCTCAGACATCAGACCCTCAGACTTCAGACCTCAGACATCAGACCCTCAGACATCAGACCCTCAGATATCAGACCCTCAGACCTCAGATCTCAGACCCTCAGATCTCAGACCCTCAGACCTCAGATCTCAGACCTCAGACCCTCAGATCTCAGACCCTCAGACCTCAGATCTCAGACCTAAGATCTCAGAACTCAGACCCTCAGATCTCAGACCTCAGACCTCAGATCTCAGACCTCAGACATCAGACCTCAGATGTCAGACCTCAGACGTCAGACCTCAGACATTAGACCTCAGACATCAGACCTCAGACATCAGACCCTCAGACCTCAGACATCAGACCCTCAGACATCAGACGTCAGACATCAGACCCTCAGACCTCAGACCTCAGACATCAGACCTCAGACATCAGACCCTCAGACATCAGACCTCAAACATCAGACCCTCAGACCCTCAGACCTCATACCTCAGAAATCAGACCTCAGACCCTCAGACATCAGACCCTCAGACATCAGAAATCAGACCTCAGACATCAGACCTCAGATATCAGACCCTCAGACAGCATACCCTCAGACATCAGACCCTCAGACCTCATACCTCAGACATCAGACCTCAGACATCAGACCTCAGACATCAGACCCTAGACCTCAGACATCAAACCCTCAGACATCAGACCTCAGACATCAGACCCTCAGACATCAGACCCTCAGACCTCAGACATCAGACCCTGAGACATCAGGCCTCAGACATCAGACCCTCAGACATCAGACATCAGACCCTCAGACATCAGACCTCAGACCCTCAGACATCAGACCTCAGACATCAGACCTCAGACATCAGACTCTCAGACATCAGACCCTCAGACATCAGACATCAGACCCTCAGACATCAGACCTCAGACCCTCAGACATCAGACCTCAGACCCTCAGACATCAGACCTCAGA